TCCTGCCAGTTTATTTCTCTATACCTCTGTTATACTGTATGTTCCGTTTGCATTTTGACGGATTTGCACGGCGTAACGGTAACCGTGTTTCTGGTAGCCTATGAACTCTTTAAGCAGGTCACGTCACCTTGGCATTTTAGCACTCCTTCTGCGTATGCAAAATCCTTACCCCTACCACTTTGTTGTGTTGAAAAAAGAGCTGTTTTAACACCAACGAATATAGCTTGGTTCGTTAAAATATATAACTAAAATTACCCTGGTATGATAATTTTATATTATTAACAAACCGCTAGTTTTCGATACTGCCAGTAAGAATAACCTTCTCCTGTCTACTCGGTATTTACACGGCGCGTTGAACTGTCTCTTGAGCTATTAGAAGCAGTGAGAAGGTACGACTGCGCCATGTGAAACATGAGAAGTGGCTGGAATTTGACAATCACTGAATCAGTTGTTTTCAGATGATATACCTATTTCAGAGTCAAAATGTGATGAAAAAGGCGCATCACATCTCCGGATTCGTTCGGCATAATTTTCCCGTCACTTTGCTTTCATCTGCCAAGAATGTCCTTTAAACAGTATATAGTATTATGATCCATGCAGTGCATTCATCGATGCAAAATCATGTCATCTTGTGTCGCACAACTATTATATCACGATCTGTAGGCTCGTATAACGTGCGACTACGCTGTATTAATCTGGAGGAATGACACCAGATTGTTATTTTAATCAGCGGTATCAAAGAGTAGCAACCTCTTAGTTAACTAAACCCATAATACCGGGTTTAATTTTCGTTATACATGTCTACGGACAGAAATATGTTCGTTGGTGTTCGAGTTTGTGTTTGTTCGATGCGACAGAATTGCGCTGTTTTGTGTCTAAGAACTGTAGATGCTGAAGTAACATATAACCGTGGCCTGCTTATGTGGCCCCTTGCGTTAATGGAAGCAAACGGACAGTGCAACTATGGCATTTTAATCCGGCAAAGTAATAGGAGATTCTTGTATTTACCGATTTTATCGAAAACTAGTAAACTCATATTGCCGGAGTTAATTTTTATAAAATAATTTCGTTTTGCATTATTCTGCTTGAATTTCACTGTATAAAATAATTTCGTCATTCTTTATGATTTCTTTTCACCAACTCAGCCCTTTATACCTGCGCGTTTCATCAAACCGTGTTCTGTATGCTGCTCCGTAGCCTTCTTTCTGTCTCCCAAATATAGGTATAAAAAATCGACTGTCTTAAAAGAGTCACTTAATCGTTTATACGATTTATGCAACATTACCACAATATCACTGTCGATGATAATGCGTATCCATTTTAGCAAACAACATAAAGAAATATAATTTTTTATCGTTAATTTATTAGCATACTGCACCGCTCAAATTAATAATCGCCTTTAAACCGTCGTTTCCTTTTTACTTCTAATTCTTCGTTATAATTTCTGGCACTGTCTACTTTTTGTTACCTCGTCTTTGTCCGTAGCACTCGCATTCGATGAACATTAGGTAAATCACGTTCGTGCATGTTTTCGTTTGTCTGCGTTGTTTACTCATCCCGGTTTTTTGTCGAACTCCGTGCCGATGCATGCAAAGTCTCTTGTCTCATTATCACGTCTGATGTTGTTCCTACCTTCCGGTTTCGATTTCTATTTTCCTAACTAACGTATTTGCAGAAATTCATGCAACCCAAAACATCGTCTGTCTAATGCTTGCATGCTGGTTAAGATGGGTGTTTATATGTAAGTTTTTCTATTTCCTCATTACCCTTGTTTTATGCTTATTAGCTATGTTATTGGTATTCTGTGAATAACTTAGTAACATATAAACATTTTCATTCGGTATTGATTGACAGTAACAGAATAGTTAGCTTCTGTTCAAGGAAAATTAATGAATTGTATTTCAAATGAAAATGGTCAACTTTTTGGCCCAAAGATATCAGCTGATTTTGACCATCTTACCAATTTCTTATCTAATGGCACTACGGTTTCCACGATTCTGAACATGATTGGTACTCGCATCGTATCTCTAGATTGGCCACCCATTAAGTTTACTTGTTAGGGAAGAAGTGGTAAGGAAATCGATTTCATGACAGTTCATTATTTGGCGTCAAATCACTCTTCCATGATCAAATACAACGTTCTTGCTGGCCTA